ATAGAAGGTAAAAATATAATCACGTATATTCAATTAATTTCTTAAATTAAGAATAATATTGGATGCTTGCAATATTTTTCACAAATAATACACTAATTGGTACAAAAATGTTTTTTATTCTTAATTTTTATAATCTAAAGATCTATGTTTTGAAAAAAAGATTGTAAAAAAATAGAGGAAAAATAAATAAATAATATAGTTTCAATAAACTAAAGGTTGGTTTTCTGAACTTATCAAAACATCAATTAAGAAATATTTTTTTTGATGCTTAGAAATCAAAATTCTATTAGTTATAAATATCTAGGTTCTTATTTTTTTTTAAATGTATATATATTCAAATTGATGTGACCAGATTAAGCTATTTTCAAAGTTTTAGTTTATTTAATATTCTAATTCACTTAAAAAATAATTGCTCAGTATACTCTATACTTGATTCTTGGAAGTATTTTGCAAATTAGAATCACCTTATATACATGTAATTTTTTTTTTAGAAGTGCATAAATAGTATATTTATGTTTTATTTAGTAAAGTCTATTGTTTGTCTTCTTTGCATAATGTATGAATTATATAACTTGTATACATGTGTTTTGAGTGCTTTGGCTCAGATTTACTTGTGCAAATGTATTACTAATTTTTTTATGATAAAAAAGTTCAATTAAAAAATTAAAAAATTAATATCTGATATATAATGATTTTTTTCTTAAAAAATCCCCCCAAAAAATAAAACATATGGAATTGTTTTAATATTTTATTAAAATATTTTTTTTTTTTTTTTTTTCTTGTTTTTTTTTTTTCTTTCTATCTTAATTAGTTGAAATGAAAAAGACTAAGTTCATAAAATATAATGATTGAAGAGGTTGCCTTAAAAAACCTAGGTTTAGTTATAAGTTTTAAGTCAATCTAATTTTAAACCATTAGTTATATCATAATTGTAAATTTTAGCCAATGAATTATTATTCTTCTTAAAATTTAAAAATCAGTTAGTATAAAGATAAAACTATCATTGAACTTAGATCTAATAAATTTATATTATCTAAATATCATTTAAGTTTTTTTATAATTAATTCTCTAAAAAAATAATAACTTTACTTGTAACATTTATTATTTTAATTTTAGGATATAAAAAATATTTTTACTAATTATAGAAATAATTTTATAATTAGTAAAAAATTACTAATTAAACATCTGGTAAAATTTTCAATAAAGTGGTTTTTAATATATTTTTTATTCTAAGATTAAATTAATATTGCTTAGTTTTTTGTGATTTACAAAAACTGTTCTAATATCTTCTTATTTTAAAAATATATCTCTTATTTATTTATTTTAATTCTACATGAAGTTGATGTCTTTTAGAAAGTTTAGCTAGATTTATCTTGTTGCTATTGCACTTGACTAAGATAACCAAGTCTATCTTCTAACTTGAATCTATTGTTTCATCTTTAAAAAAATAAATTCTTATTGAAAACATTTTTCTTTTTTTGAATCCTAATACTATATTTTGCCCTTGATGAGGTAATTTACGAGTAAAAATTAATACTCTACTCTCTTATCTTCTAAAATTATATATTTTTAGTTGAATTTATTTATTTTTTAATTACTACTTTAACTTTTAAATATTAATTTTTTTTATCATCTCAAGTGTTTTATAAGACTATGATATTCTATTTAATTTTTTCTTAAAAAATTCATATTTTAAAATTATAATTTAAATTTATTATATTTAAAAACATGTAACAACTTTGAGCATAATTAATAATTTATTGACTTTTTTTATCTCTAAAATCTGTTGCTTTTATCATATTTTCTTAGTTTTGGTATTTAATTCATTTAATTGTAGTAGAAATGATGCTATAAGTAATTTATAAACTAAAAATTAATCCTAAATTAGTTTTATTTAAATTTAAATTACCGTATTTCTAATATTTATTACTATTATAATTTATTACAAATTGAAAATCCTAGTTACACATCTTAATTGGTGAATTCAATAAAAATAGAATTTAGAGTTGTTTAGATATTAGAATATTAAGATAAGAAAATATATTTTATCATATAGATATTTATTAAAACAATTAAAGTATAAAAAATTACTAGATTTTCTTAGAAAACAAAATATAAAATTATAGTCTTAATAAATCTTGGAATCAATTGTATTTCTTGATTTAATATTATAGTTTAATTTTAATAGTTTTTATTTGATTTATAAGACTATTTTTTTGCATAGTCTTTTAATCATGTTTATTATTGTTAAAAGCTTATAAATAATAGCTAGTAGGTAGAAAAGCATACTTATTTATGAAAAAAATAAGATTTTAGTTTATTTAATTTAAATTTATTACTTTAATAAATCACCAAGATAGAAAAAAATAGTCTTAGTATAATTTTAGCATCTTAGTATCATTAAATATACATTTAGAACTTCTTAGAATTTATTTAAGATGTTTTAGAAAATATTTTAAAAATTTTAATAAATTATTTTATCACTTTAAAAGGCCATTATGAAAATTGGAGCAAGATTTGATGAATATTGCTTATATAGATGTAAAAATCTTAGATAGTTGATATAATAATATATTATATTAGATTAAAAATTTAAAAAATATATATTTCAAAGTAATTAAATATTTTTTTATTATTGGGTGGATTTTTAAGTCATTCTATTTAGATAAATTTATTTATTCTCACAAAAAATTACATCAATTATATTTGTAATCTATGATGATTCTATATTTTTCAATAAATTATAAGTTTATTTATAAATAGTATCTAAAAGATTTAAAAAATGAATAAAAATAAATAAAATAAAAATATCTATGTCGTGTATCCCTTAATTTTCTTCTTTCTTTTTAATAATTATTTTTCAATATTGTCTAAAATTTTCTATATTAGTTATACAAAAACTTTTATAGATCTTATCATAATAATTCTTCAATTTTAATCTTAAATTATGACTTAATTATAATCTAAAATCAAGACTATCTACAATTAAATTGAATTGATTGTATTATTTTGCATCAAATCTACATTTAATACTCAGAAGTCACAATTTACAACCACCACTTTTGGTAAACTTATGCAAATCTTTACTCCATTCAATATCTTTAGTCTTAATAGTAAATGCATAAAAAGAACTATCATTACTACAGGTATAAATTAAAAGATTAATACTTGTCATCTATAATAATATTTTATAGATTATGTATTAACTAAAAATTATGAAAAATAATAATAACAATAATAATATGATAGATCTAAAGTATAATTATCTATTAATTTAGATTCAAAATGAGAATTAGATCTAAAATTAAACCAAATATAAGTCTATAACAAGATTTATATTCACAACAAAAATTAGATATAAATGAATTTATTTTAAAAATATATTATTAATTTAATACTTAGATCCAAATTTTTATATATATATATAAAAATATAAGTTTAAATCTAAATTTAAATCTACATCAATCTTCTTTTTTTCTTTTCCTTTTTTTTCTTTCTTTCTCATATATACATTATTTAAAAGAATATAAACACTCGTTTTTTCAAACAAAACAATCATATAATTGAAAATTATTTTTTAAACTATTCTACCTAAAAATAAATTATTTCTTTACTTACAAAATATTATTGTATTAATATCTGGTATTTATGGAATATAATGATTTTTGTATCTTTTGTTTAATAAATGCATTTATAGATTGTATATTGTTATTTTTTCCAAATTCTATGTTATTTTGATATGTCATAATATCATTCCAATCATATTTTTTCTTATTTTGGTTCTTATCTAGCCAAATTATGTTTTTCCTTTTTTCTTTTATTAACTTTTATCTTCAGAGAATTTTGTGAAAGATATGAGATTGAGATGTTTAAATTTAAAAACGTGTATAATATTTAAGTTTTGATTCAAATTTTAAGTTGTTTAATATATAATTTAGGTTTAAAATTGCCTAATATCAAATTTAGATTGAAGACAAGATATGATGTTTATCCAAGTTAAAATAAGATTTAGATCTAAGGTAATTTAGGAAAAAAATAATATAGATTAATATATTATAGGATTTAGTTGTAAGACTATTCATAATATATATATATATATATATATATATATAATTTGATCTAATATTATTGAGGTTTTATTAATAAATTTATAATATTATTATCTCTAATCTTTTTAATGATTAATCAATTAACAAATGGTATTATTACTAAAGAGTTGTTAAATCAACCCAAATTTTATCTCTTTGATGCTGCTACTCCTACAGACAAGGTTTATGAATGCTACTTTTCCTTTATTCTTTCAGCTCTTTATTCTTAGGGGTATATAGTGGATGCCATTGTTGTGCTCCTCACCAATCTTAGAGAAGCATTCGTTCAAACCATTTCAGAAGAAATTACATTTGCAATATTTTCTAACTGATCTACACTTGTCAGGTTTGAAAGTCAGTAGCTGAAATCTTCCAGCGCTCCATGATTCCACCACATGTAGAGTTTTAGCTCAACAAACTAAAATGTGATTTTATTTTATAGGAATATTTGTTTTACATCTTTTCCTATATTACAATCCAAGTTGCTTATGACGCTTCTTGTCATTGCAAGTTATATCACGCATCAATAACCACGAGTCCAATCCATTGATTGGTCCGATGGCAGATGCCACCTCAGCATTTCACCTGCCACTTCAGCACTCAGCGTGCCACGTTAGATGCAAACCCATGCCAACTCGCAAAAGAATTTTAGGGCTTGTCTCGATCTTGGTGGTGCCTTCCCTTCGAGACCCTATTGCAGCTTCAGTTGCAGCGGAACCGCCATCGCCACCGCCTCTCGTCCAACTCCCGTGACCTACACAGATCTAAGGCCTCTGTGGGTTCTCGAATTTTCTGGCAATATTGTTTCACCTGGAATTGTGCGCAATTTTTATTAGGATCTTTGCATCGAAGCGCCATGCCTCGCCAACGCTCTTCGCGACCTGCGCCACGGCCAGTGGCTCGCCAAGCACCGCCGCCAGCGCCCGTGCGCCAGGCACACCCGCCCGCAGTGCCGCAGCAGAGTCAGGGAGGAGGAGGAATGTTGTCCGGGATTGGGAGCACTATCGCGCAGGGATTGGCATTTGGAACTGGGTCTGCCGTGGCGCACCGGGCAGTTGATAGTGTCATGGGACCGCGGACGGTAGTGCATGAGCATGTTGGAGGGCAGCCTGATAGCGGTGGCCAGGCGCCCCTCGCGCAGCCCGTTTCTGCTGACGCTTGTGCCAACCAGTCGAAGGCGTTCCAGGACTGCGTGAATGCCAACAACAGTGATATCGGGAGGTGCCAGTTTTATATCGATATGTTGAATGAGTGCCGACGTGGGCCTACCCAAACGATGCTTTGAGCTAGAGGATTGTGTGTGGCAGGATTAAGTATATTTCACAGGGTCTCGTAGTGTCAGATTGACAGAGGGGATCTCTCTGCCCTGGTTTTTACTTTGGGTTTAGGTTTGAGGAAGAAAGATCTCTGGCGCAGATGCATCTAGTCGGCAAATGTTTTTGACGGGAAAAAATTGGCAAGTTGTTACTCCGCCCGTTGATTATTAAAGGCGATCCTCTTCCATCTGAGATCGGCGCACACTATACTTGTGTTTTCAGATTGTTTATTACATTCGCTGTGTCCTGATTGTTGAGGATGTTTTTTTCATATTCTAGGAGGTGAATATAAATGTGGAAAGCATTGTGCTTCGCCCTGTGTGTGTTCTCAGTCACGATTGATTACACCACGTTGGAGTTTGCTTTTGGCGTAGGATTTTGGTACAAGGGATGAAGATCGCGTTTTCCTTAAGTTGGATTCGATTATCAATGTTATTATGTTAGAGATCACAGTTGTTCATTATTTTGGTCTCGGGCTTGTTGTCTATTATTTTGGTTTCTGACCTACAACTCATAATCCGATTCTGAATTCGAGACAGATGCATCTGGGGAATGCAAAGTAAGCGGTTCATGAATCTGGCTGTACAACGAATTATCCCCAAGGATCCTTGCATGCAATTGCCCACGTCTGCTTTGTATCTTTATTTCTGAAGAACCACGTCTAGACATCATAGTCGTCTTAATTTTCTCTGAGGTAGTGTTTTGAGGCTAAGGTGAGCGTTAGTCAGGAAAAAAAATGTGAAACTATGAAATTGGGCGTTGAAAACCAGTTTTCCGATTGTGTGTCGGCAGGGAAGTTTTCATGTATTCGGTTCCAAACTATGATTTCCTAACCTCGTGTGGATTAATTTGCGTCGCTGTTATGAACACTGCGGCAATTGCGTTCGAATTTTTCAAGGAGGGTGGGCGTTGATATGTATTCCGAACGACACATTAGAATGAGCTTGGAAAAGTCAAGGTTGTTGTCAGTCAATTTATGTTTTCAGCCTTAAAATACAATTGATACTTTCTTGTCTTTAGCTACATGCTTAATATTTGAAAATTCTCAACTACCTGCAACATTCAGGAGGTGTCTCTTCCATAAACTTAAGCATGTTTCAGAGCACAACGTTCAGGACTACAGGCATCAGGTTTCCCTTAAAAGCAGAATTTTTGGTTATGTGTCCCAGCCTCCATTCCGTTCTCCCTTTCCTGTCTGTATAGCTTGTGTGATGCCTATCCCTGTGTCAGTAGCTGCTGCTGCAACAGATGCATTTTGTTGATTAAGGTGTCTTCATTGTTAGGCTCTTGAAATCGTATTATGTCAGGAGCCTAACAACAACACCTTGATTAACGATATGTATTAGTTGTAGTAGCATCTACTGGCACAGGGAAGGGGTTCCTGATAAACATCTACCAGAAACTCTTTGAGCATGATCCTCCCGACATAGAACCGGCATCGGTTAATTTTGTTTTATCTAATTCTTATTTATTGAATGAATATTTTCTGAGAAGCTTACTGCTTGGTAATACCAATCCCATCAATTCCGTCCAAATTTGCACTTAGACTACGAAATCGATTGAGTGTGATAACTTCGGAAGACTTGGGTGCACATTATCCTATTGATCGATTATTTTTGCAGTTCCCTATCTTGCCTTGGAGTGAAGTTTAGATTCAGCGATTTAACCAGGCACTTATTTTTCTTTCAATCTCATGCCGTAAATGCAGGTTTCGACATTTAAGGTGTCTTTGCAACTGGTGCATCGGATGTTCTCTTGTCCAGCTTGACGTGGTCTCTGCCTTTGACCAGATCTTGTTAAGTTCAACGACTTCTGTTTAATGAACAATAACCTCCCAACTTTCAGTTTCACTCTTTCACACGATTGTTGAAGAGTAGAATGGCACATAATTTTTCAGATAAGGTCGTAAGGTCCTTGGCGAGTGATACGTTGAAGAGTTATGCGTAGCACTGTGTAAATGCAGCTGGAATCTTCTTCAATTGACTGATAACGGTTATCACTTGAGATGTAAAAGTGAATATGTTTTCTCCAACAAGCTTCATTTGTTACTCATACTGCACCCTCTCATGAACCCACCGTAGAAGTGTGAATCACACTTCACCTTCGATCAGGAAATTATGGAAGCGAGTTTCCACGCATTGGTACTCATACTCCAAACCCCAAATGAATGAAGGCTTCAATGTGCTATTGATTGACGCAGCCAGGGCGAAGCTGGGTCCTGTTCCCTAGTAATCAAGAAATTCTACAACTTGCACTTGGTTATATTTTTGAATCCTTTGGGAGGTTGATGGAGGGATTTGGTTCTCCTTGTCCCAACATTGTAAAACACATGAGTCTATATTTTACACAATATAGTAAGAGCATGAACAGAGACATGGAGCTGCTGCAAATTCAACAATCTGTCTTGCTGGGGACTCAACGCTAAAGCACCCACGCTTTCTTGACTTGTTCACTTACAATTGAAGGGAAGATGGAACTGGGATTGTTTGAGCTGTATCACATCAACAATGGTTGTTTGAACTACTATTCTGGAAGGTACTAAAATTACTTTTTTTAAATATAAAAAGTATTAGAAAGACTAGAATGTAAAGTAGAGAACAAAAGAATGTTGATAAAGTTGAAGATTGCTTTGGTTTTACCTCCAAGTATACCAACTAATAACAAGACTATGTTAAAGTTTCTAAAGTACCACACAACTTGCCAGTCAAGAGTCAAAGTTCTAAAACACTTTTCTTATAACTTTCTAAATATAAGATTTATTTTGAAATAAGATTATATCTATGTGGCACATTTCTATAGCTTTACAAACCAATATGTTTATCATGTATCTAAAAACCTTCCTCAATGTTACTTGAAGAAGAAATTCTAAATAAAAATATATCTATTTACAATTATTTCATTTATTTTTATCTACTTAAATAATTTATTTATTAATAGTATTATAGATATTTCTTATAAACTTCAGAAAACTTAGTTATTATTTACTATTGAAATATTTAATTTGACCTAATTGTTGGATTTTAGATACTAATTATTTTTATCAATAAAAAAAACTTAAGAATGTCTTTCATTATGATTTTTAATTTATAAGATCTTATAGTTGTTTGTTAATCACATAAAATATATATTTTTAATATATAATATATATATTTTTAATTTTTTAAATATATTTTAAATAAAAAATTAATATTACTATTTAATAATTTTTAATTGACTAAATTCTAAGGAATCAAGACTTACTACTAATTTTGGCCAATTTTTAATAAAATTTAAAAAATTATAGATTAATAATTTATATATTTATTTTAATTTAAAAAGTAAAATTTAATATACCACATGTAATATTTATTGTATCAATTATTCATATATATATATATATATATATATATATTCAATATAAATAAGTAGTGATTCTATATGGTTGTATGGATGGATCTTTATTTTTATCAAAAAAATTCACCTTCTTTAGAGTTCAAAGGTTGTTTTATAAGATTCTTAGGCCAATTTATAAGTTGTTTTACAAAGCTTTGCATTGCAAAGTAAGTGCCTTCATGCACTCATTTGATTGCTGTTTTTTATGTAGGCTTTACTTAACATTGGGATTGCCTCAATAGTTGTGGAGAAAAAAATTAATATAGCTATTGCCATATTTTTTTGTAACTTTTATTTAGTAAAGGAGTATGTTGAGAGTGTGTTCATTTGGATATTGATTTTCTCTTCTTCATATTTATGCACTTTATACTATATCATATTATATCAATTTGTTATTATATAGGCATAGGAAAAGTAAATACATCAAGGAAGGCTCACCAAATTTGATTGGATATCATATTGAATTATAATCTTTTGGATAGCATAGAAGTTTGTCAACTTTTCTTTTTATTTCTTATTATTTTCTTTTCTTTGAATATTTTCATATAACATATTGACTTGTTTGGGAATGCACCAGGCATCTAGCTGTGGAAGGTGAAGTTGGGTTTTACAAGTATCCAAGAAATCCTAATAGGTTTTATCCATATGAGAAGAATATAATCTGAATTTCAATTCAAAAGTGTATAAAAACACTCTTCTTAGTAGCTTTAATCATACATAAATCCCAATCATCTTATTACTTTCATATTTAAGCAATTTAGATTTTTCTTGTAAGTCCTAATTCTAATCAGTGAGCTTTGATAAGTTGTAGCTTATAATTTGACCATCCACTTGATATGAAATTTTGCATGCAATAGTCAATGTAAGTCTTCTATATGCTTAAGAAATTTCAGCCCAATCCAACTTACAGATTGTGAGAGAACTTCCAAAAACTATATTGATGTCACTCGACCGCCAACTTGAAAGATGAAGCAAAAGTTCTAGTAGTGATTTCTCCTTCTTCAACTATTAAATTCAATTCAAAATTGGTATACAACCTGATCTTCAAGTCCTTCAAGACCATGCCAATTTTCACCTTGATCCAATAAGTAGATCTTCAAATATCATAGAAACCCTATCCAACCCCAAACTACCAACCTTTGAAATCCTCTTGTGCTAAAAACCAAATATCTTTGAACCACACTATTAGATTATCACAAAATTTTGTATACACTTAGCATACCCAATAATCCAAATAGTTTCAAATTTTGAACTATAGATGTTATACCAATTGCATGAACTAGCCAAAATTGCTAGCCCTAATTATATTATATAAAATCCAAATCACCAATATAAAACCTGACTTTGAATAATAATTTTCAAATCTTTAAAAATCCTACAAAAACAATCCTTATGCTTTTAGAAAGAGCTTGAAGCTAGCTATGAGATCCTAATCTTTGACCTTTGAATGAATGCTTAATTTGTCCTAAACAGTCATTTTTGTGACTAGAGGTTTGATATTGATCCTGTCTCACAAACGGTCAATTCTCAAGTATCAATCTAATCTATCATAAGATAATAAAAGAGTTTCTATATCCTAGAAGGTAAAAATACTAACTAACTTTTATCTATTTGCTATTAAGACAAGAAAATAGGCTAAGAGGCTTTCATAAAAGCTTTATTAAAATATTTTGAATTCTTGTTGAAGTAATATAATAGAGTAATAATTAAAACAATATTTTTAGTCATATTTTTACCATATAATTGTGTCACAATACAACAACATTGGTGTTTGAAAGCAGCAATACCACCATAAGTAAAGATCATGCTAAAGAAGATTTTATAAACAATAACTAAGCCTTTGAATTGT